GATTAGTAGTCTTGCGGAAAAAATGGTGGAGAAAGGAATGCATGAAATATTTCCTTATGTGTATTTGCTTCTTACATTGACTTTGGTTTTACCGGTTGCAACTGCTTCAGTGGAGAGGGCATTTTCAGCCATGAATATTATTAAAAATCCACTTCGCAACAGAATGGGAGATCAATGGTTGAATGATAGCTTGATTGTTTATATTGAGAGAGATGTTTTTGCTTGTATTGATAACGAAACTATAATGCAACGTTTTCAGAATATGAAAACTCGTCGTGGACAATTGTAACTTGTATTATTGGTTTTGTTATGAATTATGAATGGAAGTACTATCTTTTTATCTTTTTAGCATTATTTTCTTTATAGAAAAATTTCAGAACTTTTACACTAAGCCCCCTTGGCCACATAATCCTGGATCCGCCACTGCATTCAACATTGAGTCAGGGAAGTTTGACGCTGGAGGATACAAATGGTAAACCATCGTTTTTCTTAAGCTATAGTTCTTCTAACTAAACCATGTGTTGTCTTCAAATAATGTTCGCCATCTTAGTTATTTTCTTTCGTTTCATCGCTTTGGTATATTATTTTCTTCTTTATTAATATTGTTTTTATGTTTGCTCACTGAAGGAAACTGGTGGTCTACCCAAATGGAAACAAGAAGAAGAATGTGGAAGACCACATCTCTGTCTACTTAAAAATGGCTGGAGCAAATTCACTTGAGACTGGTTGGGAAGTGTCTGCTGATTTTAGGTTGTTTTTGCTTGATCAGAATACGGGAAAATACAAGGTATGCATACAATATATATCTATCTATCACTATGCATTGCTCATGATCTTCTAATTTTGTTTGCATATCAGATGCTAATCTAAACAAGATGTGCTTGCACATGCTTGAAATAGAGTTATCCCTCTGAAAGCATTTGCTGATGCTTCCAATGGCTATCTCATTGATGACAAGTGTGTGTTTGGAGCCGAGGTCTTTGTTTGTAAAGAAAGAAGAGCAGGCAAGGCAGAGTGCCTATCAGGGATCAACAGTGCTTCAATGAACAAGTATGTTTGGAAGATTGAGAAATTTTCAACGTCAAAAACTGAATGCTTGGAATCACAACCGTTCAATGCTGGAGGACAGACATGGTAGGTATCTCTGATGATATTAATTAAGCCTTGTAATTAATCTAAACTTGTTGTTTAGTTCCTTCTTTTTTTTAATCATTAATAAATTTGTTGGTGGTTGCAGGAAGATAAAGCTCTATCCCAAGGGAGCTGACGACGGAAAGGGTACTCATGTTTCTATTTACTTAAAATTTGCTAATCCAGAAGAGCTATCTCCTGGCTCCCAAATACTTACAGAGTTAACTCTGCGCATCGTAGATCAATTGAATGCCAAGCATTTTTATGGTAAAGGTAAACATGCGGCCTAATTTATATTTCTTCTTTTACTTATTTGTTTTTTTTCTCTTCTTTTCAAATTTTTTTTTTTTTTTGGTTTGAACCACGAGGTGGTCCTGGATGGGCCCCAACTATGGGTAGCACCTTTAAGCCTTAACCACAACCCAGACTAATCCCCGCTCACACCGGGTCGGCCCGTAAGGGGTAAAGTGCTGGCCAAAGTGGTGACTCCATATGAGAGCATTTTCAAATTTTTTTTCAATCCTTGATTAGTCTTTTTTTTTTTCTTTCGTTTTTTCTTTTTTGTGTGCTTGCAGGTATTCAATGGTCCTCAGCTTCGGGTATTGGTTGGTCTAATTTCATTACATTGGGCAATTTCAAACAGTTAGACAAGGGTTATTTGCTGAAGGATACTTGCTTAATTGAGGCGGAGGTCACTGTCCATGGAATTGCTAAAGCATTATAGCCAGCTAAAGCTTGTCGTAAAAATATTCATCACACACATCTTGTGTCACCTGGTGTTATTGTTAACAGAAATGTTTCTCCAAAAATCATTGGTATTCAGTATTGGCAACACAACATGATATAACGATCCTCATTTGAAATTTTTTTCTAGTGTGCAGTTGAAAACATTTTTTTTTATTCTTAATTTTTAGTATCTACTTGCAATTTGCAAATGAGAATTTTGTCATTTTTATGCTCTCTTTTTTAGCTTTGCTAATTGAGTCGAAAGGAGAGTAAGTGAGTCAAAAGGAGAGTCGCTACTTCACTCCTTAACAAGCGGTTTATGTTTTCAATGAAGTTAGGATCCATCTGGTAACATTTCTTGAACTCATTTATGAAAAATGTTTTCGTAAAATAAAAACCAAAAAATGAATTTGTAATTTAAGATCCAAGTTAAGTTTTAGAGAACAAAAACAGTATACACGTTTTTGATATTCTAGGTATGAAAAAAGAAGGATGATGTAACATCCTGACCCAAAAATAAAATGAATTGTGAATTTTAATTAATTTCATGAATTATGAAACTATGTGTTCCATATACCCTTGATGGGTGATAGCAGAATATGCACTATGCGGATGGTTACAGCGGTTTTAGGTAGAAGGCTCGATTTGAGAGTTATGAATTTTAGATGTGGTTTGTGTTGTAATATTAAATTAAAGAATTTAAGAGTCGGGTTACAAACGTAAGTTTGTTCCAACATTTTATTATATTTAAGGAATTGTGATTTTTTTTTTTTTGGGAAAGAACTATGTGTGGCTTGATCCCTCACCAAAGGGTACGTAGGTAGCCTAGGGTCTTATCTAGGTGTAGCTGCGGACTAAATTTTATTTCTGGAACTTTAATTTGGTCATTTGGTTCTAATCTTACATTTGTTGTTTTTAACGAGTTTGGTTTTGACTTTGTCGTTGGTCCTGAAACTCGGTTGAAACTGAGGCATAATTAAGTGACAGTGCATTTTCTAGTTTGACTAAGGGAGGGTTGTTATAAACTGTGTTTATGGTCAAGACAGGTATGAAACCCGTTTTGGATTGTTGTACGATTTGGGTCGATGCCTTAAAACTACTTGCGATTGTGTTTGGATGTTAAACATCGCATGATGGAAATTGGGAAGTTATGTTATGTTAAATACAGTGGGCATTCATAAATTTGCTTGAGTTCATTATTTGCATTATTTAGTGTATTATTTGATTTAAGAGTATTGCTGGTGGTTCTGTTTCGAATTATAGGAAGACCGGAGGTCTATCACGTAAATTGCATGTGATTACCTTGTGTATGCTGCCTGTTGGGTTATATATTATTTGTGTTTTAAAAGGTTGAGAAATTTGGGAAAAGTCCAATTTACAGGGGAAACTCTACTGAAATTTCGGTAGAAAGTCTCGGTCTTTAGTAAGCAGGCCCAGCATCAGGGTGATGTCGGAATTTCCACAGAATTCGTCTCGGATTCCGAAGAATTCGGGACAGGTCCTGTCATATGAAAACATTGACAAAATCACAAATGATATATATGCAAACAAAAAATAACGTCCCTGGTGCAATACCAATTTCTAAAAATAACAAAATGATTTAAAATAACAGAAAAAAAAAAAAATCACAAAACTCATATTTTCTTGCCTTGCACCAAAACTATTTCCTTTTTGTTGGGAAGAAAAGCCCGCATTTGCCCTATTCAAAATTAAAATTTCAACAGATCTTTGGTGCCTCTCTAGTGAAAACTTATTGTATATTTTTTAGCAAGGATTGTGTGGTCTCTTTGGAGGTTGAAGAGAGAATTTTCATAGAAGTAAAATGTCGACCCATGGAGAAGAAGATGCAAACTGCTAGGGAGAAGAAATAGAAAGGAAGAAGAAAGAGAGAGAGAGAGAGAGAGAGAGAGAGTCTCAGATATTATCATTTAATTTAAGTTAGTTAAGGAGTCTCAGATATTATCATACGAGGAATCTTGAATATATGTTTGTGTTTATGTAAACTTCCTACCGGAAAACAAGTCTACTCGGTCGATCTCCAATATAATATGACTTAAGGCCACCCTCCATCACTTTCTTTCTAATCATCGCTGAAACCCTTTTCTTCACCGACTCAACTCAGAAGGAACTGGTCGACGACGCACCCTTTATCAAATTTTTGGCATCAACTTGTAGTATCGACAGAAGGAAGTTTTGGGCATGGCTAGTCTTAAGTTTGGCCAACATGATGCTACGTAAATTATACTTCTTTTTGTCTCTGTCGACCTTTGCAATTGAGTTCGACTTGTGTTGAAGAAACTAGTCAAGCCTTAAAACGAAGTTCTATATATTTTTTTTGTTTTTTGCATTTAATACAAGCTATGCTATAGTCTAAATTATTCTAAATAAAAATTAATCTAATTTATGAGGAGAGAAATTCAAAACATGGATGCAAGGAAAGGAACTAAGGATAGATGCACTCTAATGCACGCATCCGTGTCGACACGTACATCATGAGCAAGGAGGTGCAGTTGCAAATAATGAGTTTTATAAGATAAATTCCCAATTCAATGATCATCCAATCTTGATTAAATATGAAGTTGGTGAGTTGTTTACTCGATTAACTTCTAAAATTATTGATGACCATTTGTATGCGCAGTTGTCGAGAGTTGTGTTTGACAAAAAAAAAGACTTTTTGGTACGGTTGAATGTACTAGGGATCTTTCTATAGTAAATCGCAAGAGTTGTCTTAATTTTCTAATAAGAGAATTTATAGATTTTAGTTATAAAAAGAGAGGTGGACTCGCTATTTGTGGGAGTTGTTACATTAGGTTTGAATTTTACCACTATTTTAGGTATGTTTGTTTTGGAGAATGTACTCTTTGAGAATGTAAGTGCTAAGCTCATCCTTTTTTCTTTCTTTTTTGAGAAATTATGGGATTGCATTTATAATTCAGCCAAAGAAAGCCATTAGCTACAAAGGGTGAATACAAACTAACCACAAAGGGCCATTATAATAATAGAGAAATCTAACATCAAAATTAAGACAATCTGGTGCGTCTTCACTAATGATCACGCAGGACAGAAAAAATTCTGACAAAGGCATCTCAATTAAGATTGCAAACTCAGAACAATCAAAAAGAGATAAAGCTTGAAAAAACCAAGTCAGAAAACAACACAAATAAAACTCTCACAAACGAAAAGTGGAAAGCTCTCACAAAAGGAGAGGCGAAAAGCTCTTACACAAAGGAGAGGTGAAAACTACACAGAAAAACCCAAAGAGTCTTTGCGACTAACCAAAAAAAGGGCGACCCCATATTCACAAACTGAAAGAAACATCTCACTTACAAAAAAAGCCATTACTGTGGAGAATGAAGCCGGTGACGACATAATTTGGCTATTAAAAAAATGCAAAAACGATAGTAGTGGAGATTCGATCTTGAGACGCATGTGTAATGGGTGGAGGAAAGGCATGACAAAACCAAGACAAACAAGGGAAACCTATTTGGACTTGAAAAAATTTAACATTTTTTTGTTGAGCTTGAACCAATTTGATATTTAAAAAAAGGGTTAATTTCAATTTAGTACCATGAACTCTTACCTTTAAGGCACGTTTACCCCTGCACTCTCAATTTTAAGAATTACAAACCCTAAGCTTTTCAATTTTCTGCAATCTAGTTTTGGAGTTAACTTCAACATCAAAATTTCCATTAATTGCTTGCATGGGAGGCATGGGTCTCACATGTTCACTTATTTCAATGTCAGTTAAAGGCTATTTTGTTAAAAAATAGTTTGGTATTAATGTGTGTAATGTGTTCTTCATGGCAGAAAGACACCAATTTATCTGAAAATATTCTTTAATTAAAAATAAAAATAAATAAATGACATGCAAGTATGTTTGGATTTGAACCCCACAACCTCCCCGGTATGCACAAAGTGTCAATTAACCAACCAACCTAGGCTCCACCTTTTCCTTATCTTGATCCACAGTGCTTTTATAAACAAGTATTTGGAAGATTGAGAAAGTACATATCAAAGTTAAAACCCGAATGCTTGGAATCACAACCGTTCAATGACGGAGGACAGACATGGTAGGTATCTCTGATGATATATTAAGCTTTCTTAATTATTAATCTGAACTTCTTGTTTAATAAGTTATTCTTTTAATAATTTTATTTGTTGGTGGTTTGCAGGAAGATACATCTCTATCCCAAGGGAAATGGCAAAGGAAAGGATACTCATGTTTCTCTTTACTTGACATTGGCTAATCCAGAAAAGCTATTTCCTGCCTCCAAAATACTTGTTTACTCTGCGCAACGTAGACCAATTGAATGACAGCATTTTTTGTTGTAAAGGTAAACATGTATTTCTTCTTTTTCTTATTTGTTTTTTCCTCTTTCTTTTCAATTTTCTTCTCAATCCTTGATTAGTGTTTTGTTTTTGTTTTTGTTTTTGGTTTTTGGTTTTTTGTTTTTTGTTTTGGTTTGCCTCTACTCCGGATTTAGGTAATCAATTTTCAATGCCCGCACTACAAAAAAAAGTGACAACAGTCACCATTATTTGGTGACATATGGTTACTAATGCGGGGATATACCTGGTTCAGTGCCTTGTACCCGGGTTGGGGTTTTCCCCGTTTCATTGAGCTGGACCTCTTCAGTCGTGCAGGCAGTGGTTTTTTGGAGAAGGATATCTGCTTAGTGGAGGCAGAGGTCACTGTCCATGGAATTGCTGAAGCTATAATCAGCTTAGAGTAAGTTGGGGAAGTAATGTCATAGTTTGTGTTCAAAACAAGTTCTGAATTTTCCTAGAGCTAAAGAGAGAGAGAGAGTGGTAGGTTGGCATAGTTGGGTGAAGTTACAATGGTCTCAGGTGTCCTCATTTTTCCTTTTTCAGGTTTTATGTTAGTTTACGTTTTCTACAAATCGAAGTGAAGACAATTTTTTTTTTTTTGTTCGAGAAGTGAAGACATGTATTGAACTGTATTTTGATGTATTGGTTTCGTCTCTTCCAAAGTGATGA